CTCTCTCTCTCTCTCCCTTTCTCTCCCCATATCTCTCCCCCTCTCCTTTATTTCTCTCTCACTCTCCCTCTCTATCTCTCTTCCTGTCTCTCTCCCCGGTCTCTCCCTATCTCCACCCTCCATTTCAATTCACCTGGTCCGCCGCTGGACACATATGTAAATGCAACTATACCCTGGATGGTGCCTGATCCCAAGCCCCCTCGCGTCGTCCGCGACGTTCTCCAGGGCCCCCCCCAGCGACGACCGCCCTGCAATTATGGCCACCTCCTCCAGCGCCGCCGCCTCTGCGTCGGGCCACGAGCCGAGGACGACCATCTTCCTCCATCGAAGGCAGTGGCCATCCATCCACCCGCGGCGCCCTGACCTCCAGCTCGGCCCGCCCCGCCACCGCCACTCAGGGTCAGATGAGGAACCAATGTACGCGCCCCTTAGCCCCGCGCAGTGGCGGCGGAGGGTCTCGCCCACCCGCCGTCGCAACTCGTTAGCGCTAACGCCCAACAATGGGCCTAGGTCCGTCGCGACGATCTCAGCATGAAGACGCGTGGCGCGCGCAATGACGTCGAGGCTATCGCTCTGGCATATTCCCATTGTAGATCTCTGGCGGTCAGTAAAGCGGGTGGCATTGCTCGCAAGGCGAAGAAAAAATCATGCTGCGAGCCCTGAGGATGCCCCTCTCGGAGGGTTTCCTCAGGGCCCCTTCTTCTCCTGTCGTGGCTCCCCGCGCGCGGCGCGACAATGCCGCCCGAAAAACAGACCGCCTGAAGCTCGCGTCGTTCTTCTGGAGCGAGGGGGCGGGCCCACCTTCCGAAAAAGGAAGCGAACGAGGACCCAGCAGTCGCTCCGCCGGCGGCCGCCGCTGTCGCCGCTGCCAAGCCTGCGCCCTCCACGGGCGCTGCGTCCGCCGCGCCCACCGCGTCCCCCACGTCGTCCTCCACCACGTCTGCCACGACGTCCGGCGCGCCTGCGCCCACTGACCAGGGGGGGGCGCGCTCGGCGACCGCCGCGGGGCCAGCGGCAGCCACGCCGCCAGCCCTGGCAGCGCGGGCTGCGCCTGCCACGTGGGCTGCAGCAGCGCTGGCCGCGTCAGCCGCGCTGCTGGCCCCTCCTACAGTGCAAGCCCATCTGTCAGCGCGGTTAGCCCCAACCGCGCCAGCCACGTCAGCTCCAGCGCCTGTTGTGGCAGCTGCGTCGGCCCCCCCTCCAGCGTCTGCCCCGCTGTTAGCGTTATTAGCCCCAGCAGTCGCGCTGGTCGCAATGCCACTGTTAGCCCCAACAATGTTGAGGCAGTCGTTCAAACGACGACGCACCTGTCGTTGGCGCTGCCTGCGAGCTGCAGCGTCGCCATCATCCAGCTGGGGACTTCTGGCCAGCAGGCCTGCAGCGAACCATGGCTCAGGCGTGGCTGCAGCGAGGCGCGGCGGCCTCGCAGGCGAGGCAGGCGAAGTGAAAGCGCGGCTGCGCACTGTGCGGACGACGCCTGGCGCCGACGATGCAGCTGCAGGCGCCGGCAGTGCAGATGCCGGCGCCGGCTCAGCGGCAGGCGCTGGCGACGCAGCAGTCCAGCGCGCGAGCCCCGGGCGGGCTGCCTGCTCCTCCGCGCCCTCGTCGTCCGACAGCAGTAGCCCCAGCAGTTGATCTCCAAGCCTGGCCCTGCTTAGCGCCGGGCGAGCTGGCCGCTGAACACCGCCATCATCGCCCGACAGCAAAAGCCCCAGCAGCTCATCTCCAAGACTGGCCATCTACGCTGAGATCGCTGCGCGAGCCAAAACGGCCGCGGGGAAGCAGCGCAAGCTGCGCGGGGCGACGAGGAAGAGAAGGAGGTGGTGGGAGGAGGGGGAGGAGGAGGAGGAGGAGGAAGGGGAGGCTGAGACACAAGAGGCAACGGGGATTGGAGGTGGAGGAGGAGGAGGCGGAGAAGGAGGAGGGGGAGGAGGAGGAGGAGGAGGAGGAGGAGGAGGATGGCAGGGGCGCGGGATTCCCGCCTGCTGCGCCCCCATTGTCGCAGCGTCGCATTGGACGCCGCAACAAGGGGGAGGGGATAGCGAGGAGCGAGGGTCAGCAGCGAGCCCACTGGGGGCCCTCTCCATGGAACCCTCCTCTTGCTCAGAGTATTGGAGGGGGCCTCTTGGGGCCGCCTTCCTGTGGGCATCGATCAATCAGATGCAGCGGTGGTGGTGGTGGTGGTGGCGGTGGTGGCGGGGGGCTTAAAGACCCCTCCCCCCCCCCCCCCCTCCCCGCCCCCCCTCCCCGCACGCAACCACGCACACACACGGCGCACACCCTACACACAACACCACATTGCCACACAACACAAACCACAACTACAAACAACCACACCCAACGACCACACAACAACAACACACACGACACGACAACACACACACACAAACTACGACACACACTGACACACCACCCCAACCCCCAGGCAGGCCACACACACTGGCGGCCCACGCACGTCACACGCACGCCAACGCGCACACGCACGCGCCCACACATACACACACACACACACACACACAACACACCACACAACAACACACACGCACACGCACGCACGCACGCACTCATGCAACGCACCACACCTCTCACACACACACACACACACACGACACACACACACACACACACCACACACACACACCAGACACAGAACCACACACACACACACACACACACACACACGCACACTTCTCTCTCCGGGACGATCGATTTCGCTTCCTGGGCGGCTTTGACTAAATAATATCAATATTTTTCATAGCGGGAACGCAAAATAAAACATTGCTTCTCAGAGGAGGGCCCTGAAAGTACGCGACAACATTTCTCGGGCAGGGCACCTCGGAGCATGTTGGAAGCCATATCTGGCGATCTGCGGTGCGGTGGGGCGGAGGAGGAGGCCATCTGGGGGCATCACTGGCGGCCCTCGTCCTTTCGCCATCTTGGGCAATCTTTGGCGCTCTAAAGAATCGGCCAAACCCTTGCCGCCTTATACATGTGTATGAGTATGTATATATGTATATATATATAAGTTTGTATAGGTCCAGGGGGGGGGGGGGGAGGGGGAGAGGTAAAAAACCAGGTCCAGAGGGGGGGGGTAGGAGGGGGAGGGGTAAAAAAACCCTCCCAAGGGGAAGAAGGAGGTTGGAAGAGGAAACTCTTTAGGCCACCTACGCCCTAAAGGGCCGGTGGGATTCGCTAGTAGACAGACCACCTGCGGCCAGAGGGCAGCGGCAATAGTCGCGGCGGCGTTGGAGCGGCGGCACTGGTGGCGGGAGCGGCGGCAGTGGCGGTAGCAGAGCGGCAGTGACTGGGGCGGGGCGGCAGTGGTGGTGGTGGTGGCGGCGGCGGCGGTTGGCGGCGGCAGCGAGCAGCAGCGGCGGCGGCGGGCTGCTTCTTCGCCCTGCCCTCCCTGTGGCCCAGGTGGGCAGCGCTGGGCGGGCGCTGCTGGGCCTGCCGGCGACTGGTGGCGCGCAGGCGTCGCTCGAGAAGGCGTTGTTGCTGGGGCTAATAATCACTGCCGCCCCCCCCCTCCCCTTCCCCGCAGCAGCCGCCGCCCCCCCCCGCCTCCCATGGCGGTTGGCGGTGGCGCGGGGTCGAGGCAGGGGGGGGCGGCGGCTCGTTGGGCGGGCTAGAAGGTGGCGTACGACATGCTGATCGGCGACGCCCC